AAAATACCAAATAATGAAAAATAAGTGCAATAAATTAAAAGTAAATAGTAATGGTGTTTCTGTTCCTAAAATTTAGTACATTGGGGAATGTTCCTTAGAAATGTGCTTAGATATCAATAGGACAAAACATTGTTTCATAAATGCAGTCATGCGTTGCTTAACGATGGGGATCCATTCTGAGAAATGTGTCATTAGGGGATTTCATCATTGTGTGAATATCATAGAGTGTACTTACACAAACCTCGATGGTATAGCCTACTGCACACCTAGGCTGTATGGTACTAATCTCATGGGACCACCAGCATATATGCTGTCCAGCGTTGCCCAAAACGTCCTTATGCAGCACACAACTATAATTTCATAAAGAAGATCTGGCTTTTCAGGATAACCTTTGTAGTTCTTACTTAAGCATAAGAGAACATTCCTGTTAAATGGACAGAAATTTGTTCTCTTGGTCCTCATTGTTTCCTGAAACCATGGGCTGGACTGAAAAGCCACGAGGGCAGGAGCCTCATCATTCTTGTCCCTTCCGGAATCCGAGTCCTTAACAAAATGCCTGACTGTAACAGGTGTGCTGCTCCGTAAACACGTATTTTTGGAATGAGAAGTCTGCATTTTGCTTCTGATCTGTCGCTAACGGTCTGAAAGAACAGAAGCAAACTGTGGGGTGCTGTTATCTAGCGAACGTCATGTGCTCCCAGAGGACTGTTGAGACCAGTTTCTGATTTCGATCACGGACTCTGGAATTGAAGGCGAGTGGAGGGGTCTTCACTCACTTCAGGAAAAATGCCATTCGATCTCTGCTATTTTTCTCCTTAGGGTGCTTATTACATTCAATTATTTGTCTAAAGCATTCTTTCAGAAGAAAGAGAAAAAATTCACTCCATCTTCTGTGTGACTGTCATTTCCAGATCCAGGAGAACAGTTCTCTCTACTGTGTGTCAATCATCCCTAATTTTTATACAACGTTGCTTCTTCATCCCTCTCTGTCTTGGTATTTGATCTTTCCACCTTTCTCTGGGATTCCATCATCTCCTTTGAAATGTGGTATCCAGAACCAAACTCAGTACTCCTGATGCACACTTTTTACCCCGGTTTTTAAAAAAATTTTAGTCCTAGAGAAAAGTTGAAGGAACACTACATGGGACACCTGTGTGCTCTTCACCTATATTCACAAATATTTAATATTTTGTTGCATTTGCTTTATCTGTCTCTATAAATAAATGTATGAATTTTTACCTGGAACTTTGACATTAAGTTGTTGGCATTATAACACATTGCCCCCAGATGTATTAGCATGTTTCATAAGAACAAAGACTTTCTCCCACATAACCACGACATCATCAAGATGTCCAAGAACTTAACATTGCTGTGCTAACAGTCAGTTGACATTCAAACACCCACTCTGTCCCCTAATTGTTCTTTATGAACGCTTCTTTTTTCTCTGCGCCAGGATCCAATCAAGGATCGTGCTTTGCATTTGGTGGTTATGGCTCTCTAGTCTTCTTACAGTCCCTTCACTTTTCTTTTTCTTTGATCATATTGACATTTTGAAGAATCTGGGACTGGTGTCTTGTAGAATGTTCCACAACCTGGATTGGTCTGATTGATTTTCCATTTTTAGATTCAGGTTAAACATTTTTACAAGAATTCTACATAGGTAATGTTGTGTCCCACCACTCGAGCACATTAGGAGGTGCATGTATCAGTCGGTCCCATTATTAGTGGCAAACATTTGAATTGTTTGATTAAGATGGTGTTCCCAGACTCTCCGTGATAAAGGTCTGTCTTCTCCTTTGTGATTAATCCACAGTGTTTGGGGTAATAAGTTAAGACCGTATCAATATCCTGTTCTCTAACAATTTACACCAATGTAGCATCCACTCATGGTCCTTGCCTTCACCAGTTGTTACATCGGCAGTTGCAACATTTCTAATTTTATTCCTTTAACCTTTGCTAGCTGGCGTTCTCAAAGAAGAACTTTGCCTTCCTCCTGTGCTTTGAGTACTTTTGACCTCCTTTGATCTGGATATTAATACTCTCAGTAAGGCAGGCTAAGATTGCAGTAAATTATTTTTCAGTCAGGTCACACAGTTTGCTCATTCAAAGAACAAATTGTAGTTCCATTTGAACATGTAGAATTGTAAAACATTCCTGATGTATTACAGCATTAAAGTGCAATAATTAATTAGAAATGTTCATATAATTCATAGGGGACATTGTTGTTTCTTTTGCATCCTGATATCTAGTTTTTCTGTTTTCAAGGGTCTCTATTGACTTAATGTATTTTCCTGGCCTCTTATTATACTTCCTATTAGAGGTTCATCTACTTTCTGTCACCGGACTGTAGAGACTTGTCTAGCAATAAAAATGATTACATGATATTTACGGAAACGAGAGTAATTCTACACATAGCTACAAAGTCATCTGCCAGCGAATTTTCTCCACATCAGTACTGTATGTTAAGATAAGATAGAAATGTTTTTACTGCATGCTAAAATTAAATGAAAATATAAACACTAAACACAGGAATCAGATGATATAATATTGCAACTTACACTTCTGCGTAGAAAACCCTTGAGGTACTGTTAATATTTAAGCATATTAATTACTCAGAAAATGGGCTAAATGGTTTGAAATTAGGATCATCTGGTCCACTTCTTTTTTTCAAAGAATGCGGCACAAACTGGAGAAAGTAAAAATCACTTCTTTTCAAGGACATGCTGATTGGATTTTTTGTTTGGTTGGTCTGGTTCATAAAATCACATGAATTCCTGAATGGGTGTTTCTCCCATGAGGGACATCATCGCCCAAACAAGCTTACAGAAGAGACAGCTGTGGCTTTTCTTCCGTAGAGACCGTGAGGCTGCAGCCGTGAAGCAGACTTCACAGCTGCACCTTCGCGACTGCAATTGGGCATTGCTTTCTAATTTATCAAATTGAAAAAAACGTAAGGCAAAAATTTTGAGTCATTTCTCTCATTATTATACTGATTACACAGATTCAGCATGAACAAGACAGATGCTAATTTGTGCATAAAGCATATTCCTTTTGATAGGAAAATACACATAAGTTGTGGTTGGAAAAAGACAACAGGGATACTGTTAAAACCATTTTTGGATTTATGTGGAAAGTTTCCAGTGAAAGACATGAGCTCCTGCATTATCACATCAACAAAAATTCCTAGATGTGAAGTGTCAGTAGAGGGACCCAAACAACCCTTCCTGCAGAGTGGGAGGCATGGCAACTGGGAGTTTTTTTAATCCAGGCTAACCAAGGAAGGTGAATGTGATGGAGGGAAAACAATGTGGTCAGCCGTGGTCCTGATTTCTGGCACCATTTCTTCTACAAAACCCAAAATTTGACCTTCAGCAATTCCTTTAACATCCTTCGGCCTCTGTTTTCTCATTTCTAAATTCAAGATATTTAGGTCATATGCTGGCTTGTGTACCGTTCAGCTTTAACGTTTGATATATGGATTCTATTTTTTGAGCTGTGTAGAATGAGTTTGTTACCTAAGCATCTATGAGCTGATATAAATTTAGAGTCAAATAACCCCCATGACAGGTGGATTTTCCCCAAATCCCATTATAACCTAGAAAATTTGTTATTAAAAGCAACTTCCTTCCTGATAACCTTATAAATACTTAAGTGTTATAAATTCAAGACCCAGTCAGTGGAACAAGGATGACGTCTGCCAAGAATGATGGCAAAGCAGAGTTTTAGAAGAGTGTAAGATTAAAGCTTAAAGCTGAAAGAATGTCCGTGGTGATGGATGAATTTATCCTATTTAAACTGCAATAAAATCATACTCTTCTTTTAATGCCTCTTATCCCATAAAACCTTCCCATCACCCCTCCTCCACTGTTTCCCTAAGACTTTGTTCTTTGATCTGGTCTTCTATTAAAATTAACTATTTGCGTGTTAATCCCGCCCGCTGTTGTGTGAGTTGCTTGAGCCCTCAGACACTTCTTCCACTTTTGTGTTTATTTTTCCTCTTTACCTTCTCTCACCCCGACTCTCCGACCACATGGTCTAAAGACGCACGCAATCAGGATTTATTTCTCAAGTTGAACTTTATTTCAGTTGACAAATGTGAATATACATGACAGAGCATCAAAATCATTGAGTCTGAATATTTTCTTGATTCAAATGATCAAATCGGCCAGGTGTCTTGGTGTTCTGTGGACGCCATCTCTGAGTATTAGCCTCATTACTCAAAGTACACATCCCACACCAATTGTAAGAATCAGCTTCTCTTTGCTGCAATTGCCATTGGTTAATAATTACTGATATGTATTTTCCACTCTCTGTTCTCATCACGGTTGTAAACAGTTAAGTACCCATCAATCTCTGGCAGACAAATGGTAAGATTTACACGACTCTGAGCTTCTGAAAGTAGGGACCATGTCTTGTCCAGCTTTGTGCTTCTAGCACTAGGCCTGGTGTCTGGCACCATGAGTTCCACCAGTGTTTCCAGAATGGAACAATCCTCAGCTATGGGCAAGGTTAGGATTAGGTGGGCACCTGTGCAGAGAAAACAAAAAGTTAGTCTATTGGGTGAGTTCAGAAGAGAATAGACTTCCAAGAAAATAGATAAGGGATTGCAGCTGTCTGTGAACCATAATATTTGCAATATTTTCATAGTATCTGGTCTCTAGTCTCAATTCAACAATATATTACTTTTTAATATACTAAAGGAGAGTGTGACACAGTGGGATATGAAGGGAATCATATTAGCATTCTACATGGAATCATCTGTTTGACTACTAAGTTCTTTGTCTCATTTTCAGATTTGTCTGGGGTGTTGATGAAAAAAAGTTTATAATTATTTTTTCCCTCTTTCTAACATGTGATTATTTTTCCATTTAATGATATGATAAAAGTTTATTATAAGTTTTTTTCAGTAAATATTTTCCAGTTTATAACATTCATTCTTAAGAGTCCCCACTAGATACCAATAAAGCAAGTAACGAAGCAGCGTTGCTTCTCTTCTCATTGCAGGAAGAAAATTAGAGAACCCTAAGTTGCCTCAATAAAATTTGAACAGACGTTTGTCTCTGGAGTTAGGACTTTGAGTGAGGTCAGTAGCAATAAGCGTTGACTATTTTATTTTCCTGCTGGTCCTCCAGGTCCAAGGCCGTGTGTAGGTGGGATGTCTGTCTGTTCAGCAGAGTTTTCACCAGGCTTCTCCTTTCCCATAAGACGGAGGTCAGCTGCTGTCCACCTAAATAAGCTGTAAACTGCAGGCGGCCCCCCAGGCAGCCCGAGCGGGCGGGTGGGAGTCCAAGTCTAGGATGGCTGGCTGTGTGGTGGTCAAAGCCTAGTGTGCAGCGATGATGTCTGCGGCGATTTTTATGATAGCATATTGATTGCTCAGAGTTTTCTGTAATATGATCTATATAGAAGAATATATAGACCATGATTCCCTTTATATTCTATATGATAAGAATATAGAAAAATATTTCCTCTACATGCTCTGAGAACAAAGGGGCTGTGGGGTCGGATTAATGGAGGAAATGCTACATGCCCTATGCGTCTCTTGGACATTCTAAACGCGCTTTAGTATAGCAAGCACCTTTGAGAAATTAACGTCGTTATCCCGGCGTTTCCTAAACTTATCTGGCCGTTCTTCCATCTCCTCCTTCTTACTCCCTTCCCTGTCACGCCCCCTCTTCCTCCTTTTTTGGCAGAACATACGCTCCTAGCACAGCATTTTAACCTCTGATGCATTCTTCGGGAAAATCCTCTGCGTAGGTTAGAGTTTATTTTGAAATAGTCAGACTAGCAGGAGACTCTAGCACTGTCTATGTTGTACAGCCCTGATGGTTTGCTCTCATGGAGCTGCTTTTTGGTACCATGTCCTCATAAAATTCCTATAAAACCTCTCTCTCTCTAGTTGCTACAGGAATTGTCGATCCAAGTGCTCATTGCCTTCCCTGTGAAGTTTCACATGAAGATGTTTTAAAGAAAATCTTCTATTAATTACTTGAGAAACTTTGCTTCTCCCAAAGAACAGATATTTTCCCCTCAAGACAATGAGTGTTATCTGCAACACCATCTGCAATTATTATAGCATCAGTAAGTGCATAATCTCAATTAACAAGGTGTCAGGGGACGGCTTGGTTCAGAGTACGATTAATATAGCGGCTCAGTGATCTTCACAGCATTCACAACTTCCCGATTTTTCCAGCTCTGTCCCCTCAGTGTCAAGCTTGCCGTCAGGCTGACCTCAGTCATGGTTGTTAGACGGTTGCACGCCCATCTACAACAACTACCAGCAGAGCTACCACCAGCAGAGGGGATGAGATTACATGACTGCCTTTGATTAATCAGAATTTACCCCCATTCTGTTTAGCTGTCTGAATAAAACAGAGTTTTGTTAATAAGGAAGAGAAAGGAATAGATCTTGAGCAGGAAGCAACAGTGTCAACTGGAAACACTTACAGGATTTTTCTTTTATTCCAAAATAGAAAGCTTATAATTAAATTTGTAAGTTATGCATGTATCTTTATGGCCTTTCTCTATATGTTCCATTTTTTTCTCTTAGTCTTGGTGTCAAATTTAAATTTATTTTCTCCTGCTCGTGATTCTTTCATATACCATTTTTGGCGTGTATTTCTGATGTTGGATACTTTACATGTTTTTCAAAATGATGTATAATATATAATAACTATAGTTAACGTATCAGGGACAAACTAGGGAATAGGAAGTGAGCCGGTAGCTGCTCTGGGTTTGGGCGCACAGGGTTCATTGACATTCCAGCAGAATAGCTAGAACTTGTCAGTTCAAAGTGACTTTGGTCCAAGCCTTTAAAAACACAGCTGTGGTAATCGACTTCCCAAGCATGGTAACACTGAATATTCTCATATAATTAACATTTCTAATTTATAGGCAAGCAGTGGTGGCACTTATTGTCACAGGTAGAATTTAATTAGCCAAGACAAATAAATTAGTTTTCACACTTCTATCAGGATAGTGGAATTGCAGAGGCTGGTCTGGAAGATGCCATTTGACCTCTCAAGGAAATTAACTTTTCCAACTGCCATTCTGAAAAGCTCTAATTAAGCCATATTGATACTATTGGCTTATAATGGATGCCGTGTAGGCTACTGTCTTGGAATTCTAGAAAATCCTTCAAATTTTTTTTTCCTAATGTCCACCTGCATGACAAGTGAGATGGAAGGCATCTCAGGACTGGGTACATGTCATTGGACCATAGGGAAAGAAGATTTTCAGGGACCAGTCATAAAACCCCCCAAGATCCACTGTATCCTCTTCATACGTGGACCCAATTTGCATTACATCTCCTTTTTTGCATGAGTTTTATCAGATACAGAGTTCATGGTTAAATGTATTTGAAGAAATGAGCCTGTGTGATAATGGGAAATACTGCAGAGGAGAGGCAGATGTTGGAAAGGCAAATGTGGACTCATTTTATAGGGAAATAAAGAAATAATGGGAAAACACACAACAGTATAAGAGTGGTGGTTAGTAGTGATCTGCAGGGAGGTACGTGGTTCAATTAAAGAATGTATAGGATAATAAGTACCGCAAAAGGATTTGCAGGTAAAGAGATATAATTAATTACAGGGTTGTGCAAACTTGGGGACATTTTGTGTGCTTGGTTCCTTGAACTAAAACTTATTAAACTAATACAATTAAACAGAAAGTAAGAAGAACATACTGGAATAAGCCAGAACTCTCGAGGTGCAGACATCATAAAGAAGAAGAGAAAACTGGATATTTTTGCAACTAGAAGAGAGGGGAAGGAAATGAAGGGGGGTTTTTGGAGGTTACAGTTATTAAGTTATTCCTATGTGATGTGCGATGTATGTCTTCTCGGTCTCTCTGGGGATTGTTGGAATGCACAGCTTATATCTTTGCACTAATCCTCTCTCTCTGCCTGGTTTTTGGGGGGTGTGTGTGCACATGTTTGTTTTAAACGCTCTCTCTCTTATTGATTCCAACTTCTAGAAATTTCACAAGAATTTTGCCCATCAAGGTGGTCTCCACTGTTTTCTAACTAATATCTGTCTATTTTTATTTCAAGTCGATTTTGGAAGGGAAGAGAAGTATATGCAATGAGTCAAGTAGCCATGTTTAACTAAAGTCACAGATGTATATTCTTGACACTTTAAAATGCTTCACGTTCAGCACCTACATTGGGCCTAGCCAATGAACCAGTACCCAACTTTTTCATACTAGGTTAACAATACTAAAATAGATTCAGTTTTTCATGTGTCATGGGTTCACGCTAAGGGGAAGAAATCCCTTTGGCCTAGGAAAGCACTTCTTGGAAATGCCCTGAAGTAGACCAATTTAAATGTAACCGGACTCATGTAATTCCTACTTAGCTTTAGACATTAACCTAAGGGGGTCCCTGATTTAACAGACAGCAGTCACTTGACGTTGTGTGGTTTTTGCTCCATGGCATGTGTCTGAATTTGGAAAGCAACTTAAGTCAAGGGAAGATGGATGGAATATGAGCTGGTGCTATACTTCCTGCTTGCTGCCGCTTGCTTTTTCTTTTAGAGCTAAAATATTAAAGCTTGACTTGTTGCCGAGTATTGCTAAACACATATTCAAGCTAATAAAGAATTCTCCAAACACGTAGTGAGGAATCAATGTTCAAAGAGTCCAAGCAGGGCAGGGAGTCTGGGACGAGTTCTGAGCACGAATTAGAGACCTGGTCCAGATCCTGTTGCTGTCTCGCTGTGTGGTTTTGTTTACCAGATGGACGCCTGTGCCCCTGCCCTCCTCCCAGTTTCCTCCTCTGTACACCAGGAGCAGCACCACCCTCCCACTGTTGCTGAGAGCAAACCAGAGCATCCCGGTACTTCCAGTGCTCAGTAAATGTGGCTGAGATCCACGGCAGCTCCTTTAGCGCTGCACCCCGGGTCCCCTCTCCTCCAGACCTCCTTCCCAGCTCTGTGTTGGGATTGCGACTGTCCTATATGCTTCTTCCGTCACTCTTGCTCTTGCTTTCAGCCCCACCCATCTTTTCCTTGACTTATTGATAAATAGTAGATCAATCTTAGAACCAGAACTTTATTTTTTTGTGTTTTTTTACCCTTTTCTGCCCAAATCCCCATGGCCGTGATTCTAGTTCTATGATCTCTCTTCCAGCATCTGCCACAAAGCCATGGTGGAAATGCTGGGTAACAGAGTATGCTGGACAGCAGAGTTTTTGCATTTATTTCTCTCTTTTAAACAGGTCATCAAATAACAAGTCAACTGTAGTAATTTAACTAGTAAAATAAAATGATTATGAAATAAGAAATGGAGAAGCTTTATAATTCTACTAAAAACATAATCATAAATCATATTACTTAAAAAGCAATATAGGGGCCGGCCCAGTGGCAGAGTGGTTAAGTTCATGTGCTCTGCTGTCGCGGCCCAGGGTTTCACTGGTTTGGATCCTGGGCACAGACCTAGCACCATTCATCAAGCCATGCTGAGGTGGCATCCCACATAGCACAAACAGAAGGACCTACAACTAAAATATACAACTATGTACTGGGGGGCTTTTGGGAGAAGAAGAAGAAAAAAAAAGATTGGCAACAGATGTTAGCTCAGGTGCCAATCTTTAAAAAAAAAACAATATATTGTTAGTATTTTCACTTTTTATATTTACAGTATGTCAAAAAACTTTTAAATAATTTTTAGATATAAACCAACTTTTCTTTAAGTGTTGTTGCAAGCCTCTGTTTTGGCATTAACAATGGCAGATAATAAATGGAAGCCGCAATAAAGTGGCAAATTTGAAGTGCAAATTTTATACGTTGCCCTCCTCTCTGCGAGGGCACATGCTCCCTGAAGCTCATTCTGAGCAAACTCTGCTCCCCTCGCACGTCCCTCACTCCCTTTTGCTCACACACACACTCACACCCAGGTGCAAAAATTCATAATTTTATGTAATACCTAGATTATGTACAAAAAAGTTAGTGTGCTCTCTGAGTATAAGGGTCAGAAAGTAGTATCTGATGCAAAATTGAGTTATAAAACTCACATTGCCACCCAATAGGATCAAGAAAATTTAAAGTAAGGCATTCTACAAGTATTTTTGATTTGATTTAAAATTCCTTGTTTTCCTACCTCCCCTCAGTGTCTCTGGGGAATGGACCACAAAGGTTACATTATTGACCTTTTTAAACCTGTTCCTCATTGTCGCCTATGTAAGAAAACTCCCCAACAAGAAGGAAAGGTATCACATTTTATTATAGAAGAGATAATGAATCTTCAAAATGCCCATTCCCATTCTGTATTTCACACATCTATTGGGGGTAGAAAAGACCAGATTTAAAGAAGGTTTAGAAGAACACAGTTTGGAAGGAAAAGGAGTATTTCTACTTAGCATAGAACTTTAAGTCAAATATCATTCAAGCTCCAAAGCATTTCTGCAGGATTTCCACATAATGATTTTCTCGTACATTCCTGGAAAACAAACCAACAACACAAACCACCTCTGCTATTTGGTCTACAAGACAGGTCTCCATCTTGAATATAGATGAGTGAGTGCCTGCTTCCCATCAGTTGACAGCTGAGTGTGAGTTTCTGAAAAACACTTAAGTTGACTGATATGTTTATAAACTCTAGAGATTCTCATCTGAGCAAAAAAAAATAGTTTACAAAACACAAAAAGGCAAAAATTTTGGCTTTAAAATTGGTTTAATTATCAATGATTTCAAAAAAGATGGAAAAGGCTAAATTTTGGAAAAGACTAAGTTGCAAGCCTAGCAGCTGCAGGACGTATGTGTTCTGCTTTGAGTATAATTCTTGAGTTTGCATTTGCACATTGATATCAAACGTTTTAAGACTAACAACAGTGGTGTGCATATGGTAGATATTTTATGTGCCTGTGGGGATGTACTGAGCACCTTTCCTATGTTTGGTGAATTTCTTACCTTATGACTCCCAGTTTCCTAAGATAAAAGCCAGAAACTTGCTTTTCCAGGCTCCCTTGCAGCTAAGGTACAGTTCTGTGACCTTTGATTCTGCCAGGCACAGGTTAAGACAGGAGGGCTCTGATTGTAGACAGATGTGTGAAGAAGGCCATGCAATGGGGATTCAGTTCTGGC